TTCAGAGTCGATGTCTCAATACAAAAAGAAGAGGCTGCGGGACTGGTTGTGAGTAATGGGCGATATCCATTAGTTTGAGTAAACTGCCGTCCCCGTGGAACTGGGTCTAATGCAAACCAACGCAAATCTGACTCACGCAAAGCAGCAGGTGGAGCAAAGCCGGCATCTCTCAATTCTAGATATATTTGCAGTTGCCTAAATTACGGCAAAAACAGAGGAAAAACGTCTGCATTAGTATGGATATTTACCATAAAGTATGTAAAGCTACTTTGGTCTCATTTTTTATTCGAGGAACATAAAGAAATAATTGCAAAATAATAATAAATGTTCTTAATGCCGAAATAAACTTAAAATATAGAAATTAAATAAAAAAATTGAGAATTTAATCCAGGAAAAGGTTAGATAATTACGAAAAAACTTACCCAATGAATGGCATAACTAACAAAAAGTGAAGAGGTTTGACATTCATTTTTTCCATAGGCGTTTGATCATGTGAATGTTTTGGTAGATCCGATACATTAAACCAGGTTATAGCTTCTATTTCATTTCGGGTAGTTGGCTTTAATTTAGATGTCCGAGGGAGACCCTCAACAATGTAAGCACGTCTAAGCGTTTCACCAAGACCACGGTCAATGTATATTTCTGGTCGTAATCGGTGCTCTATATCAATACCCGTCTCTTCCATCACCTATTTTCAGTTATGAAATAAACTAACCTCTCTAGCTGCACATTTCATCAAGGTTTCGTTCTCATTTACCTTGCCTCCTGGAAACGACCATCGGTTAGCATGAAAGCCCTGAACAAGTAATATCTAAGAAAATAATGGTATGAAAATTTGCCATTTTATTATATCCGTCTATTATAATAGCGCTAGCGGTAGGTGTCAACCCCTTGTATTTTTTCCATTCAATGAACTTGTTTTGCCAATTAATTCCAGTAGGAATAAGCTCAGGAAAATTTTCAAACACTTAAAAAAATTAAAATAGGATGAATACTTTGTTGAGCGAAGCCGAACATGTCAATACCCCCAATTTCAGGGCTTATAATACAGTGATCTAGGTAAAACCAATGGGCAAGTTCGAGCTCAAAAAAGATACGCACGAAATTTTCTTTGATATCATTTTTATAAGAATCCGGTATATTGAGTAGAAATCGACTGAAGATTATGAGCAAAACTAACTACCTGTACAAATCATTTAGGGTACTTATGGGAATGCTTCCGGAACGCATCTTGGGTCGCCCGGTAGTGCAAAAAAAGTAATCTGCTAATGTTACGTCTTTTTGAATCAAATAATCAAAATAACTTGAATAATAATTAAAAAAATAATCTATCTAAATTATATTAGTTTTGGCGGATGCTTTGTAATGCCTGGATTTCACCCGGTCGTCTCTATCCCTTATAGAGCTCTGGGATTGTAGCCTAATGGTCGAGGCTGGGGCCTTATCTAAACATCCTGAAGAAGAAAGCCACGCTTTACGAGTAAATCCATTTGAGGAAAATGCGGAGGATAAAAGTGAAAATATCTATTTTCCTCATGCAAGTTCGTAATTTTAATATATATTTTAGTCGATACTCCGGTTGAGAATACTCCTTCCGAAATACTCAATGGAAATGTTTTGAATGATCATTTTAGCGACCCATTTGTAAGCTATTTACATATGCTTCTACCTTTCCTAATCCTGACTATATCGTCTAAACTCCTAATTTGTCACTAAAGCCCGTAATTATTCCAGAATTTTCTTCTTGATATATTCCATTATTGTATTTTATTCATCATAAATTTATGGGGCGTTTAGGCCCATATATAGTCATTCTGTTTTCATTTAAGCTTAAGAATTATTCTCGCTTAAATTCTTCTTGGGGGTAATTTCTATGAATTATTTATTTCGCTCTAAAATTATAAGGGCCGAACCTTCTATTA